TAAATGTTTTTCGTGTAAGCATCATTGAGCAGAGAGGCATGGGAAGGCCCAGGAGTGAAATCACCAGTGGACTTGGAGGCATTTAGGGAAGCATGAAGGCAGCTTTTGAGAACCTCAGTGTGTTAAGCCAGGATTAGACACCATAGAGGACATTATTGGGTCACTTCACAAAAAATGGAATATGAATGTTTGTTTACATAAAAGTATTATATCAGTGTTAAATTTACTGACATTGATAACAGTACAGTTTTCTGATAACATCCTTATTATAGCAGCCCGGGTAAGTGAAAAAAGAATATCTGTCACCACAGAAGCTGGGTACTCCTTAGGGTATGGTGTTTTGAAAGACGGTAGCAAGGCTTGTAAAACAAATAAACAAAAACCTAGTTTTTAACTGACTAATGAGTGTGATATAATATAGGATATTGTCTATCATTATTTATTCTAATAAGTTAAACCATGAAATCATTCAACACAATGAACAAAAGGTTGCATTTTCATCTTTATAAATTTTAGTATTTTAGCCTTAATCACGTGATAGCCCTGAGTGGTCAATTACGTCCATATCAAATTGCAGCCTGTGAGGATTTCAAGAGCTCAGTTTACATTCTTTTGAAAATGAGCTTTGTGTGGTTTTTAAAAACTTTTAACCTCTGAGGATACTAAGATCTCCCTGTGTCCTTCCTGGTCTTTCACTTCTTTGCGTTTATTCGTTAGAAGGTAGAAATGTACAGTTAACTTGGTGCTGACCTCTTGTATTCTCATTCATCAGACATGCATTTCCCTCGATTATCAGTTTCTTTCCAAACAACTTAATCAGAATTTCAAAACCCCTCTCATTTTAAATTTCAAATTCTAATTACTTAATTGAGCTATTACATTTTTCAAATTTGTCCATATTCTGGGGGCAGAAGCTTTTCTTCTGTCCCCCGCGTAGCGAGCATAGGGGGCAGAGCGTGGACCAAACCCCCTCTTCTCCACCGTCCCCTCCCTGCCCTGCAGCAGGGGGATGCCAGGTCTGACTCACTGCCTTCATCTTTCTCGCCTCAGAGACCCACAGCCTGCATGCACGTGTGCCAGTTTGAAGGACCTGGGGCTCTGCACCCCAACTGACCTTTACAGGATCCGTGAAACACAGATGCCACTTTAATGCCAAGACCCTGTGAACCACAGTAAAGTTGGACTCTGTCAGTAGCAAGGGATGTGTTTCTTCAGGAAAAAGCTGGAACTGGGACAGCGTCAGCAACTGCAGCAGCTCTGGCCTCTGCCATGAGCCACCCGGCATCTCCCGTGACCCCATTTCCCTCCCAGCCAGCTTCCTCTGCGTATTTTTAGGCTTTCTTTCCCTGATAACTTGGTCTTACGTGGGGCTTTGGCTTGCCATGACCTTTTCCACTTTAACTTCATATCAAACGTTTCAGGGTTTTCCAAGCTGCATTTGATGATGTCCTGATAATATAATTAGTGATAACCTTGTTTTACAAGCAATCAGCTTCTATTCCTTCCACGCTTTTCTTTGAAAATTTACATGAGACTGGGTGAGGCAGAGTATAAGAACGTGAGTGTGTCTGGTGAACCTCGCTCAGCTCCTGCAACCAGCCACGTCATAGCTGCTGACCTGCTTAGGGAGGCCTGCCCAGGCTGGGTGGGTGGGTCACTTGCTCTCTAGGGAAGCCCCTTCCCCAGAGCTGTTCTCTTCAGAAGAGGCATGGACGGAAACATGGCAGAGACTTGGATAGCACAGCCCAGCACAAACCATCTTGCTCCTCCCTACTCAGAGTTCAACTGTTTACTGACTGAATTTACCCACATGAACTACTGTCTTGACTCCATCTATAAAGGGCCTAAGTAATAATGGAAGGTGAACTTGAAACCAAGTAAGAGATCTCTTTCTGGGAGGCTGGTGGGTTTTGTTTCGTTTCCTTCAGGTGTTGTTGGCTCCTGCTGTCAGTGACTTTGAGGTTGGCATCAGCTCCTCGAGCTTCCCCTGGGATCTTTACCCTGGATAGATGCCTGTCCTGGGCGTTCTTTCATGAGTTATAAAAACTTATTATTGAGTGTCTCCTCTGGATCCGGCATTGTGCTTGGCCTTGGGAACATAAAATAGTAAATAAAACAGACTCAGCTCCTACCTCGTGGAGATTAAGTCTAATGGGAGAAATAGGCATTAAATAAATCACTGTACCATTACCGTTGATGGGTGCTGTGTGAAGGGTGTTGGAGCCACCACATTTAAGCTGAGACCCGAAGGCTGTTAGACACTCAAAGGAGGGGAGGAAGAATTTCAGGCAGAGGGAACACAGCCCGATCACAATCCGTGGTCATGTCTAGAACATTGCCTTGTTCCTGAGAATGCTGAGTGTGGCCGTGCCTGGGCTTTTTTTTTTTTTAATATACATTCATTTGCTTTATTTTTTAGATTCCACATGTAAGTGATGACATAGAGTATTTGTCTTTCTGTCTGTGGGCATTCTTAAATGACCCACTCCCACCAGGTCATGAGCTTCTGTAGAGCAGGGACTTCCAGTACAAGGCTCATGGTAGGCACTTAATAAATATGTATTTAGTAAATAAGAGGGGTTGGTCGTAGACAGTCTTTGAGCCACTTTCTGTTAGACTTTTTTATATTAAAATACGACCGACTGCTCATGAAAAGGTCTGAAGGAACTTGATTTTTCAAAAGCTGCTTCCCCAGCAAGGCTGGCTGGTGGCCACCCTTGGAGAAGGCTGTTTGTCAGGTCAGCACGTCCTCGCCCTGCCTCTCCTGCTGTTTTCCACGCTGTGTGCTTTACCCTGTTGGCTTAGCCTGGAGTTAGAGAAACTGGCCAATGGGACACGGAAGCTATGTCCAGGAGTGTGTTTTCTGGGCTTTTCCAGAGATGAAGCCTCCTCACAGCTGTTGAGCAAAGCAAAGCGTCCGCTCTCTAGACAACTTGGGAAGTTCCGCTGCATAGGTGAGGTTTCCAGGTCACTGAAGGTTTGAATACTCAAACTTTTTAAGTCATTCCTAATTTAAGCATCCTCAGTTTTACATATATTAGGCATTTCCCTGTATTTTTGGAAGAATTCTTTTTTTCTTTATGACAGGCATGTATTTTAAAGGGTATGTTACTGTCAGTGTTTCTTGAGGGTGTGTATAACTTTGCATCTCTCTTGACTCTGAAGACACACAGATAGGAATTTTATAGTCTTCCTGCTTGCTACTTTGTAATTAGGAGATTGGTTGAAACTTGTAACTGCCGCCAGGGTGCTCGCCTTTTTCTAATCTCTTAGATAAACTGTAAAATTGGAAACCATACAACCAGGTTTTAGTTACTTGTTCGTGTATTTAAACATTTGTTCCTTCACCAAATATGTGTTCCGCCAAGTATTGCGCTAAGCACTGAGGTTGCAAAGCTGAGTATGATGAGTTCCTTGCCCTCCAAGAACCAGAGGAGCAGAGTCGGGGGGGACTGTGGTGGAGAATTGGGCCAGTGGGAGCACCTACACCAGACTGAGCTGTTCTGAGTAAGAGGGAATGGCTGGGGCCCAGTAATGACCCTGAATTTCTAAACCCATGGAGTGTATAAACTTCACTGCATATATCTTGTGCCATCTGTTTTGGCTGCAGAGGCCATTTCCTGTGTCTGTCAAGTTCTAGATACTGAGAGCCTGTCATGAGCTGAGCTTCAGGTACATGAGGTCTTACCTGACATCAATGGTCCTTTTTTTTTTTTTTTTTTTTTTTTTTTCCATTTT